CTTGGCGATTTATGTTTAAAGCCAGCTTGAAGGTTTTGTCTTTCTGTAATTTTGTATGAGTAAGATGTAGCAGTGAATATTCAGACAAACTCATTTGAAGTAAAACTTTCTTGTAATGTGTGTTTTTCTAATTTACACCATAGGGTTTCTTTAGTAAAACATATTGTGGTGACAGTTTCTGTGCAGCTCAGTGTTTTCTCTGAATTTATTTGCAGTAAACACTGGTTTATTAGCACTAGTCTCTTAAATGTAGAATTGGTATGGAATTGTTATTTAGTGGAAATTATTAGTTGTGATTTTATTAAAACTGATACCTTATAACTTTCAGGGTTTATAAAAATACCTATATGAAAATCCTGTTTTTGTGTTACCCAAGTGTATGTAATGTAGGAAGTAAAATGATAAAATGATGAGAAGTAATGGGAAGCCAGAAAGTATCTTCAGAATTGCTTAACTCAAAATTGATTTTCTACCTGATGTATCATAATGTTTGTGAGTAAGCATGTTAAGGATTTAAATTCTGTAATCCTTGCTGCTTAAATTCTGAGGTATTATTAGAGATAATGTTAATTTCATTAACCTATTAATTTTTAAAGTGCTTCTCTAATCTTGAAGATAAACCCTTCTGTTTAAAAAGCCTTTTTGGTCAGCAGTCTGCCTTAAATAATTTTTTTCTGACCATTTTTCAGCAAGATCGAGGAAATATGTTTTGCTAAAATATTTATCACTCCACAGTGATATGTGGCTGCTGATTGAAAACAGGTTTTTTTCTGCAACTATACTGATTTTTTCCTTCTAGTCACAGAAATAATGAACTGCGTGTTCTGGGGAAGTTGAAATAATGAAACTGGCTCTGTCTGGTTTAATTCGATGAGCTGTGAATCACACATTGATGATCTATCTTTACTTTTATTCTTTTCTCTTTTCTTGTGCCTGGCCTTGTTAACAGAATTTGATACTGAAGTTTTTCACGTGTTTGGTGGCTTTATGTAGATGTCACAGGGCTAATCAGATAAGCTTACAGTATTGCAGAGCCCTCATGTGAAGTAACTGCTGCTATGCTAGTGTGAGAGAGCAAATTTCTGGAAAAGGAGAGAGTACACAGGGAGTGAAATCACATCCAGGATGAGGCAGTATGTTCAAGTTCCAACTGTTGAGCAAGAAAAAGCCTATGATTATAATTCTGCTTTTGAACCAAGACCATGTATGTGTTTGGGTAGGTGAAATTATCATTTTCTGATAAGATAGACTGTTTCTTCTTACTGCTATTCTGTAGAATAAATGTGTTTAAAAAGAAGTACCTGTACAGCTGGGAAATATGTACAGTCTTAACATGTAAAATGCAGATTACAGGATTCCTTTAGCAGAAGAGAACATGCATGTTTAAACTTGGAAAATCCCACTACTGCAGAAGTAAATAATAAGTATTACTTAAACCTTTTACATTGACCATCATGTAACAGTGTGAACTTCTCTGTAGGTACCACTTTAACCTTCATATTTAGTTGTATAAAATGACGTAAAGATGTCTTCAATGGGGAGACTATTAAAATGCAAATTTTGCTTGACACTGAAAGGGAATTGTCATAGGATTTTTTTGGCGATAAACCTGCATATAATGGAACACGTTCTTTTTACTTGGCTTAGTGACTGTGTTCTGTAGACCTACAAAACAGCTTATTTGTGTGAAATGAATCTGTTTATTTGGATCAACGTTTATCCGGGTTAAATTTCTATCCAAGAAGTAGAGAATCTGTTTTCAATTGCTCAGCTTCTCTCCATCTTTGAAAACACTCGTCTTTTCTGGTCTACATAGTGAAATGTTCCTAGATTTTACTTTATTTCTTTAAGTTCAATGTATTTTTAATGAACATTGTTAAGACTTGATTTTTGTGGGTTTTTTTATAGTCATGCTTCTTTTTTTTAAACCTGTTTCTAGTTTTTTATTAATCTTTCCTGGTTATATCAAAACACTGAGCAATGATAAATAATTTTCTCACAAAGTGTGTCTCATGACTGTTGTTTTGGTTTTTGATTTTGGGTTTTTTTTTCCTGTGTTCTTTGGAGAGCCTAGCACTTAATTTTTTTTCTGATGGTGTTCAGCTTAAATTTCTTTACTCAAAATATCTTTGGAGGCTGAAAGCTTTCATAGATAAGCTTTCTAATACTTGAATGTTCTATTTAATTTAGAAAATTCTTTTAATGACATTACCATTCATATTAATTTTAGTTTTATATTTTGATGATAGGTGGGGGGTTTTTATGTAAACTAAGCTATAATTAAATATATAGCAATGTAAATATACTACTGAAAATCCAAGATGTGGAGAAGAGAAAGTTTTCAAGTCTTAGGTAATATACTTCTTGTTAGACCTTTTTTATGTTAAAATTCACTGTATGCCATAAATTTAAAGAGCAGTATTTGAACACTATTGAGTTTCTATTAACTGAAACCATCTGGTAAGGCTGTCAGAATGGGTTGGTACTGTTATTTGATATTCGTCCTTCTCAAAGGAGTGACTGTATCCAGGTTTTATGTGCAATTGCTGTAATTACCACAGTTCTAAAACATCATTTGAAGACTTAAACTGTGTTTCTTGGCAAGGATTTTCTCTCCTGTCACTTAAAGAGGGAGAAACTAACCTAGCAGAATTTTTAATTGCCTCTGTCTTGCACGCAATATTTTACAGTATTTTCTGTTCTTACTATGTTGTAGATAGCTACAGCAAAATATTTTACTACAGTTGTAAGAATATTTTGTTATACTTAGGAGTAATCAAACATACTGTTTACTCTAGCCCGATGTTAGTGGCCCATAAGGTAGAAAATCAAGTAGGAAAACACAAGTACAAAGAGTGTTGAGCCAGGTGCAGAGCTGCATACCTAACTAAAGAAATGTTTAACAATATTGGGTAGATTTTAACAAAATTCAGTGGATTTTGATGGTGTTACTTGGATTTCCGAATACTGAGTGATATACTAGACGCTAATGAGGTACTGTTTTCTTATGATTGTACTTACTTTTAAAATGGAACACAACATTGCTTTCAATAGAATCTAGTTGTACAACTATGAATTATTTCTGGTTTAAGTCAAGTAGGTTTTTAACCTCTCTTGATACTTAAGTTTTCCAGTGGCATATGAAATAGCTTTGATTTTAGCTACTTAGGACCTGCAGCTTTTATGTAAATACAGATTTTTACATTGGTTAGATTCTGTTAGATTGGTTTACATTCTGTGAGTAGGAGATTTCAACAAAAGGAGTCATACGAAGAACTTAACAGTAGTCACAAAGTACTGTTTCACACAAAAAATCTTAATATTCCAGCTGTTTATTCTTGCATGTTTTTTTGTTTTCATAGTTAGGTATTGAAGTTGTAAGTCTGTGTTCGTCCTCCTGGTGATGTATGACTCTATAATTAATGAATTGAATTAAAAGACCACCGAGGAGAACTTGAAAGTGTGCTTTTAAAATCATAGCTCTCTTTAATAATTATTTCTTATTAAATAAATTGCAAGAATTAAGTTGAAGGACTATGAGCATAATTCAGTTTTTTGTCCAAAAGACAAGTAGTATCAGAAAACAGGTGGAATAGAGGGACAATATCTACTTAAGCAGAGTCTTGTAATAAAAACAAGTACAGCAAGGAAAGTCTTTGTCATGAATCTTCCAGATGTTCTGATAAATATGGTTATAAACAACTAAGGTTACTTGGATATCATAAGTAAAGAAATACAAATCCTGATGTATTTGTCTAATGCTTCTTCACATCCTGAAAAATTTGCAGATAAATTATAATCATCAAAGTTACTGCCAACATATCCTTTATTCTTTTCCCTATTTTGACTTTCAGTAAAAGTTTTTGCTGCTTTAACTGTTTTTAGCAAAGTGTTTTATGATTTTTTTGGAGTGCATATATTGATACCTTCAATAAGGTAATTGTAAGACATTTAGCTACTCTGAATGCTCTAGGTACTGGGATTTGAAAGACCAGACAGCCACGGATCTGTGTGCATACTTGCTATAGTAGTATTCAGTACATTATTTCCAATTTAGTGACTCTTATGCCACTAATGCTGCTGCTTTATGTTAATCTGAGACCTGACCAGTGAGTTAATTGATAAGTCCACTAAAACATTTAAAACCTGATTTGTCAAAACATTTAAATTCCTTGGGAATAAATCTGCACTGATAAAATAATTGGACAGATATCTAGAAACATTTTTCAGGGGTTTTTTTTGTGCTAAGTTTTTACTTCAGGTAAACTGGAATTGTTCCAAAGTTCTAGTAGTCCTGAATGCTAGAAAAAACAAACCATGGTTTGTAGGTTTCTATCTTGTTAGAGCAGGCATTATGACTCTTTTTAAATTAATAAAATTAAAAGTTACATGTATTGTTCTGATTATCTTTATACGAGTACAGTATTATTGGAGAGTAGAAATGAGGTAAGAAAAATACCTTTCTTCACTTCAAGTGACTGTCTCTTGTTTGATGCCTAGTAAAATAGTGGGATAATGAAGAGAGAGCTTGTTTTGTATATTGTGCTTTCTATTGCTTTATATGGTTGCCTGAAAACAGAAGATTTTGTAGTTGACTTTTTTTGTAGAAGAGTGAACATAATGCATGTTTAGATATGTTTTGAAATGATCATTCAGAATTAAGATAAAACAGCAAATGAAGTAGCCTTGGTTTTAACATTACTAAATTTTGAAATTTCTTGATTTTTCTGCATGTTTTTAAGTATGGCTGGATGACAGGTGCATTTCTAGTACCCAGGTTGCTTGCATATTTTCTCATGTGTTACATTATAATAGTAGTTTTGCTTATTTGACTTCTCAGTCATTTTCAATTACCTTAATTTGGCTTTATTGCTGATAGTAACAAGCAGCTGAATTCACTGTATCTTCTTCCTCCTTGCTTGTCAGCTAGTCTCTTCAAATGAAGATACCGGAGTTCCTAAAACTTAATTCTAAATTCTGTTGGGTGAATCTCTCTGCAGGAGTGTGCTGTTGCTGTGCTGCTTTGAGACCTCGCTACAAGCGTCTGGTAGATAACATATTTCCTGAAGATCCAAAAGTGAGTGTTGACTTTAAGGGATTGGCATTTGAAAAATTGTGGTTAGTAACTAATTTTAGCAATTTAGCAATTTTTTTTTCTTTTCTGTTTTAACATTTTACAGTAAATTCTGCTTTAGCACCTCATAGCTTTAATAGAGGTTAGCAGAATAATTTAGCTGGAAAGGAACCTCTACAGATCATCTGAGCTAATTCCCTTTTCAAAGCAGGGCTGTGCGTATTGAAGAGTGAAATTAGTGTGTTTTGTGCAGAGAAATAGAGATTTAATTAAACAGAGTATTCTGCAGCAGAGGTAGCACTTAACTTCATAACTACTTAGAACCACAAATACTTGTTTTGTTATGGTTGCAGGTGTGCACATTTTCTATTTTTCTACAAGATTTTAATTCTCTTGACATATTGACTGTGTAAGTTTTTATAGTTCTGGTAGACTGTGATCCAAAATGGTTTTTTGTTGTTGTTTTTTAATTTCTCCAGTTATTCATACACAGTCTTTTCATTTCATTGGAACAGTCTTGGAGCTATATTAAAGCCTAGCTCTTAGTCTCTGTGAAAATAAATAACTTCTGTGTTACCATTTAGTAATGCCTATATCTATACATAATCATGTGATGGTTCAGACAGATCAGGAGCTTATGTTTCTGCTGCTGTATTTTTTTAAATGCGTTGCCAGATTTTGTTATCTTCTTTATAGTAGAAGTAAGGAGAACAGTCGGCACAGCATTTGTATAATATTTGGCTTATTCTTAGAAAGTATGTGGGCTTTTCTTTAAAATGTGTTGTTACTGAGTGCTAGTTACTATGTAAGTGTATGTTTCTGGCTTCAGAGGAAATGTTTTCTGTGTATACAGTATGTTGAAAGCATGGAACAGTATGGTTTTATAGATTTATTTGTTTTAATCTACTTGTGTTATACAGGTGTAGAAACACCCGGAATTGCTACAGTTGTAGTTTTATAGCTTTAATCTCACTCACTCAGTAGCTCTGAGTTGGCACTCCTTAGTTTCTGCTTTGTGAATATACATTGGCTTAGTGCAGGACACAAGCCAGTCCATGATGTTTCACTGAATTGCAGGCCTTTTCTAAAGTTTGAGAAGACTTTCTTGATAAAATACATTAATTAATAATGAGTGTGTTAAAAGCTTCGAAGTTATTTATTTGAAAAAGATAATGTTTTTGTGAACAAGCAAAAAAAGACAAAAAGCCTTATCCTTCTTACCTAATAGTTCTAATTATAACCTCATCTGAGGAGATCCATATCACAGTTCATGTTGGAACTAATATGTTAATCTTGTTCTAACAATTATCCTGTATGTCAGCCTTGTCCAAGATGTGACACTGAAGAAATAAAATATTTAAACTACAATCTAAAATATTTAACCTACAAACTTGTTTGTATACAATGTCAAAGTTATGCATCTAATATACTTTGGGGAGGAGGATGGGAAAAGAAAAAAAATTACATTGTACTGGTAGGGAAAAGGTGTCTTAGAACTGGTGACATATATCACTATATACCCTCTTTTGAAATACCTGTTCCCCCCCGAAAAAAAGATGGGGGAAGGTAGTTGCTTCATTTCTTTAAAAAATATTTTACTTAGTTTTCACGTTGATGATTTTTGCAGCTAAGCTATTGAGTTTTGCTCAAAAGTTTGGTTTTTTTTTTCCAGTACCTTATTCCCATCTTAATGGCTCAGATCTTTAAATGTTGAGGAGACAAAAGGAAAAGCACCTCAAAAGCTTTATACTTTCTGTGAACTTTTATATTTTGTATGTCTGTTTTTAGGATGGTCTTGTTAAGGCTGATATGGAGAAGCTGACTTTCTATGCGGTTTCTGCACCAGAAAAGCTCGATCGAATTGGTGCTTACCTAGCAGAGAGACTGAGCAGAGATGTTGTCAGACATCGCTATGGGTAAGGAAATAAGTCACAGCATTAAAAATAGATGCTGACATGTAGCTGCATTTCGTCATGTTTGTTCTGATCAAATTTTGGAGGCAAGACAGACCCGGTCTCTTTGTAGTGAGTTAACCTTGTCTGGCTGCCAGGTGCTCACGCAGCCACTCTTCTCGCTCCTCCTCCTCAGCCTGATGGAGGAGAAAATGAGATGAAAAGCTCATGGGTTGAGATGACAGGGTCATCGCTCAGCAATTACCATCATGGGCAAAAAAGACTCAACTTGGGAAAGATTAAATTTATTGCCAATTAATAACAGAGTGGGATAGTGAGAAATAAAAATAAAGCTAAAACCATCTTCCCTTCAGCCCCCCTTCTGCCCAGGCTCAACTTCACTCCTGACTCCCTTACCTCCTCCCCCTGGCACAGCACAGGGGGATGGGGAATGGGGGTTGCAGTCAGCTTGTAACATCTTGTCTCTGCTGCTTGTTCCTCCTCATGCTCTTCCCCTGCTCCAATGTTGGGTCCCTCCCATGGCAGACAGTCCTTCAAGAACTGCTCCAGGATGGGCCCTTTTTACGGGATGCAGTCCTTCAGGAATGGACTGCTGCAGCGTGGATCCCCCACAGGTCACAGGTCCTGCCAGAAAAGCTGCTCCTGTGTAGTGTCCTCTCCATATGGCTGCAGCTCCTGCCAAGAGCCTGCTCCAGCGGGGCCCTTCCAGCTTCCTTCAGGGCATATCCACCTGCTCCAGGGTGAGGTCCTCCTCGGGCTGCAGTGTGGATATCTGCTCCCCCATGGTCCTCCATGGGCTTTACCAGTGTCAGTGAGGGGCTCAGCTTTGGGAAGTGGTGGGTCTGTCTTGGAGCTGGCTGTGTCTGACATGGGGGCAGCTCCTGGTATCTTCTCACAGAAGCCACCCCTGCAGCCCCCCTTGCTACCAAAACCTTGCCATGTAAACCCAGTACACCTTTGAATGTCATTCAGCATAGTGGGAATTGGGGATATCTTTCTTTTTAGCCCTTTTGGCTAAATTGTATTTAAATGGGAACTTTAAAACTGTCATACTCTAAGTCCTTTATGAGCTATAAATTTTAAAGAATGTAGAGTCAGAAGAGGGAGAAGATTTTAAAGAATGTGGAAATGGAGTAGGAAAATACTGAGTCTAAGAAGTGGCAGGAATTGGAAAGAAAGGCAGCATCCATCACAGGCCACCATTTTTGGCCTTCATGATGTCAAAAGCTATTTTTATAACTTTATGGAATGTGTAAATGGCTATTCTTTAGGGTAATTAATTTTGTTGACTGCTTTTCTTTACTCTTTTTCATTTATTTCACATGTTGCCTGACTGTGCAGGAGCATGGATAAGTTGCTGGCTTTCCATGCTGAGGTTTGGATAGGCAGAGGATCTGTAGACTAGAAAGCTGGGATTTATAATTGAAAATAAAATGTGCTAGGAAAGATAATTGAACTATATTTACTCTTGTTACCAAGTATTATGACACCCCTTCTAAAAACACTCAACCCCTCCTCCCCCCACCCTCCCCCCAAAAACCAGGAAATACCAATACCTTCCATTTTTATACAGTGGGAAATACGTGCCTTGCATTATTTCTTTTCTAACTTTTGTAGTAATAAGGACCTAAATTGAACTAACTCAGGTAATGATGAATGTAGCACATCTTTATGTGAGTCTCTCTAATTAATTTTCAGGTATGTTTTAATTGCCATGGAGGCATTGGACCAACTTCTAATGGCTTGCCATTCTCAAAGCATAAAACCGTTTGTGGAAAGTTTCCTTCATATGGTGGCCAAGCTTCTGGAATCAGGCGAACCAAAGCTGCAAGTTCTTGGAACTAATTCTGTGAGTAAAGATACTAAATTAAATCAGAATAAATTTCTGCTTATTTGCTATGGGAAAGTAGTTTCAGAAGTTGCAAAGTATCTGCCAGTTAACATGAATTGAGAAGATTCTGTATGTGGCAGGGTATACCATTTGGGCCTAAACACAGACCAGATACCATCTGGAGGCAGAAAAACTGTTGCCTTTCAGTCTCTAAAATTCCTTTGATGGCTGGGCTCATCTCCTGTAGAAATAACTCCTTTTAGGAGGAGCAGGAAAGCTGTTCTGTGAGTTCATATTTTGAATCTTTAAACACACCTCCTGGAACCATTGTATAGGTAAGACAGTGTTTCCTTGCTCTCCAGCAATGAGAGCCGTGGTGTGAGAAGGAGGAAATCACATCCTTCATAGCACTGACACTACACAGAAAGATTCCTCTTAGCTGAAAAGTAGTCAGGAGGCGAAAGCCTTCAGTATTATAACCTCACCATCTTACTAGCTTAAATATTTCAGGATTCAGATCCAGGCTCAAAGGGCATAACTAAAAGTGTCAAAATGAAGACCTGGAGATCTAGTTTTCCAAATAGTGATGGGTGCAATCAGTATGGTAGTTCTGTCATACTTCCTTTCTAAACATTGTATTTCCCAGCTAGTACAATAGGAATCTCATAAATTCCAGGATTGTGATGTAGACTGTTTTCACTTAGAGTGATTGCTTTTACATAGGTAAAGAAGTAATGCTTGCATTTCGTGTATGTTACCATTGTTAGCAGTGTGAGGGTTCTTTGTGTATTCTGTAAAACTGTTGGGCTTTCCTTTGAGCATGATTTCCAGTTGATGGAATTAAATGGAGTTGCAGTTCAGGGAAACATGAAGGTGTAGTACAGTGGCGCTACTCTGGAGTAGAATTTCTTATTATGGTGCAATGCAGAGAGTTCTTGCTCTGATGTAGGGGATGAGTGTCCCCTTGTGCCCCAAACTAGCAGGGCAGCTTTACTGAGGGTAATGAGTTATTTATTTATTCATTTTTAATATCTTTGAGCCAGCCTACCCTGCTTCTTTTGATTTCTTTGTATAATAATGCCTGGGCAAGACCTTTTAGGGAAATAGCTTTGGAATTTATTTCCTGGGCTGCCAAATGGCAAGATGCACATCACTTTCCAGTTGTTTAAAATCCATGGTGGGAAACAGTTACTGCCAACCTCCACTTTGATTTACAAAGCACATGTCACTTCCACACGAATATTATTGAGCACAACTCCACCTTATGGTAATCTGTTTGATATCCCTGTCAGTTCCTAATGAAGTCTTTTATGAGCAAAGCAGATTAATGGACTTCCTAAATTAGGAGATAATTCGTGTTTGTCTGTTGTAAAACTCACTAACCAAAAATAATTATGTTTTCCTAAATAAGATGTCAAATTCTGTGAGGAGAGTGAATCTATACGGCTCTTCAACAGTATTCCAAAGCTAATTTTAGCCTAATTATGCTAATTTCCCTAGGTGCCTTCTATAGTCAATGGAGAGAAAAGACAGAGTCTTTTTGTGTCAAGAGGAGCAAGGTGTATTGGTACTGACAGCTTGTCTGTTACCAAGGACACTGACCTACTGTGTTCTTAAATAAATTTTGTTGGACATGGAGAAAGTTTATCATCACATTTAGCCTTTTTTAGTTTTTCCTCTCCTCCCAAGGGAAATAAATAAGTAAACAAACAAAAAAACCCAAAAAGAGTAGAGATGGTAGAGTGACTGAATAATCTTTCATGTGCTTTAGTTATTCTAGTGTACCACTTTGGAGTGGAAACTGGTATTGTCTGGAAGAAAATAATAAATTGCATGTGAAGTAAACATCTTTAAACTGGTGAAAAGTGAAGCAACCTTTGGAAAAGTTTCCATAATATTTTTAGGTTAAACTCAGTTTCAGGCCAATACAAATTCATCGTCTGCTTACGCTTAAAAAGATATGGGGTATGATTGTGGCTATAAGTAGATCTTGATTATTTTCCATCCTAAAGCTGACTTTCAGAGCTTCGCTGGGACACAAAGGCAGTGATATCTTTCAAGTAAGATTCAACTGTCTTGAGTTGTAGAGGTTTGTTTCAGCCTCACAAGCAGATTTTGTTTCAGCTGTGGGGACTCTTGTGATTGCTCAGAAGTCAGGGTTTCAAAGGAAACATCTGTGTACTGAGTGACTCTGAGTAGTTTAAAGTCTCGGAAAGATCTGGAAGCTTCCACTGTCTTCCAAGTTTTTTTCCTTGACTTCCAAATATCTGGGTTTGGATGCAGAACTTACTCTACTTGGCGGTCTGTCTTACAGAAAAAGGTTTCATTCAGCTGTTTGACTTCTTAAATTCTTTTTGAAGTTAAACTTCATTTTTAAGTTGATTTACTTCTAAAAAGCAAACCTGAAGGTTAGTGTATTAGAAAAACAACTGTTTGTTTTTCATTTATGTACTTTTATGCCTGATCTTCAGGTTACATATAATTATGTACATAATTATGACTTTTACATGTTACATTTGTAAATTATGCTAGCTTATTTCCTACAGCAGCAATGATTTTTTTTATAACATAATTGTAAATCTACTTATATAGGCAGATACTTGAAAACAGGTGAAATTTGATAGTGGATATGTTGAATTGTATTTTTTTTTTTAAGTAGACCAGATTTCAAATTGGCAGTGTCTATGAAGTTCAAAATGTCTTCTTCTATCATGGAAGATATTTTTATTAACCATGTGCTAGGATAGCATATGCTGGTGAGGAAACTGAAAAACTCTGGTGGGAAAAAGTGAGATTTCCCTGGCTTAAGTATTGCAGAATCTGGAGGCTGATTGCAGTAAGCTTTTACTTAGAAGCTTACGGCGATACTAAATTTCTCACCCTAACCATTTTGCAGAATTTCAGTAGCTGAATATCATGTAAAACATCTTTATCTCTTATGTACAAATGATTAAATGTTTTGCTTAGACCCATAGTAGTTATATTACTAGGATAGAATGAATTAATTATACTTGTTTTTCCTGTCATGGTGTGAACACCTTTAAAATCTTTGAACTTGTAAAAATTTTGGGGGATGGGATAATTTTTTAAAATATTTTTAATTTTCTGTCAATTTTTTTTTAGAGAGGGTCCAGAAAATTTATTTAGTGAGCAGTTGGTCAAAACCAATGAGGTGCATAATTTAGTAAAACTTTCATCTTAAACTGTGATGACAAAACTCAGTTGAATACAACACATTTTAAGGTAATACGGAATGTTGATGGGGTGAATTCTTCTTTGTATTTTGATAGTAAAACATTGGTTTTCCATCTGAAAAGGGCAGATACATGTAGAACCCAGTATTACCACGTTTTAAATTATTTGCCACAAATGCTTTCTTTAGTTGATAGGGCGCTTCATTTTAGAAGGGCAGTTTCTTCTTAGGAGCAGTGAAATAATGATACCATCAGTGACAGTGTTGAGCTTCCCGTGCATGAGGGGGTGACTGTTATTGCTAGTTGTCATCATTTGTTATTTAAAAGAAGACAAGCAGTATCCCAGGTGGAAAAGTGACCAGTCAATGTTTGATGTAACAAGACTTTTGTATCTGTTAGAGTTGGCTTATAAAAGCAGTTGTTATTGGCAGAATTGAAGTGCATGTATATGTAAAAATAGTATAAAATGTCAAGACTGTCAAATTAAGGAATGTCAGAATTAATATTCCCAGTAGAGTACTCAATTTGTTTGTCTTGCTTGTCTGTAGCATGCTAATCTGGAAGTATGGGATGCAAACTTATCTTTATTACAAGATGCTTCTTTCATTCCATGTACCAATACAGAATTATGTACTAGTAGTGATTTAATATACAATGAAGTATTTAATCTCTAGGATCCCTGCTCTATCTTTTTTTATAGGAGTTAAACGTACAGAGAGACAGAATTACACAAAGCATTCTTTCTCATCCTGTAGGTTGTTAAATTATCTTCTAAATTCTATGTCTGCCCTTACTAGAATTTGAGTGATCCTAGATAAATCTCTTTAGGCAGTCCTTTTAGGGTCATTCTCAGTTAAATATTTCTTCCCCCACCTTATGCTTGTTATCTCTGATCTTGCAGTTTCATAGCCACGCTAATAAGGCTCTGTAAGCCAACATATCATTACTGACTTTATTACACAACTGCACATGTGGTGTTCAGGATAGTTTTCATCCAAGTGGCATGAAGTAAAATAGATTGTGAAGCTATCCATCCTACTCCAATAAAACTCAAAATGAGAAGTGTCAGGTGACCTTAACTATTAATAACTGAACTAAATGACCAATTCCTATTGCTGAGAACCTTACCTTGTTATTATTTATTGTGATCATTTTAATACTGTGTTTGTGACATTAATGCATGAATCCAGTGTTTGAAACTTTTCTATTTAGAAAAGTTGAAGCGTTTGTCCTTTTTGCATTTGTTTGAAGTGCATACATACATTCATGCACTTCTGATTAATGCTGTACTGTGTAGTTTCTAAGTGTCTCATGTTTATAGGATATCATGTCTTCCTATGTGACAGTTTCCTGAAATACAGTAGCTTTGTCTATAAAAGAAGTTAACTATCAGTATCAGCACCCCCTTTCCCCTATCTGAAACATGAGAAAATTGCAGGCTGTAGAAGACAGACTGAGGAGCTCAGATATAAAAAAAAATTACTGCTCAGATCCAGCCTACAGTTTTTGCAGGGAGATACTTTAAATAACATAACTCAAACTTAAATACAATACATGCTGATTGTCTGTTTTTGAATTGCTGCAAAAACCTGACCTTCTTTAAAGACATCCAGGGTGCATTAAAAATTATGATTTTTCTCCTACTGTACTGGCTACGTAAGAGTGATAAGGCAGCATAAATATATATAAGAAATTATGTCCTTAGGAATTTAGTTTGAGAACTCGCATGATTTACAGCACTTGCACAGTCTCTGTCTCCCTGGTAATATGATCCAACTTCCTTGACTCCGTCTGGAACAAACATCTTCTGAATAGATAATATGT